ATGTATACTTATGAACGTAAATAAAGAAATACATATTAACTGCTAAAATTTACATTAACTGCCAGTTCTCAAATCAAGGGCGTAGAACGGACGAGAAGAACTGGCAATAAACTCTCCGCCACTCTTTTTAATCGGCAGGTTTTTTGTTTTACAAAAATTTCCTTAAGTCCCTATCTCTTAACAAGCGTATGTATATATTGTTATTCAGTTATTAAACTATTTTAATACGAAGATGTTTCTGCACATGAGCAATCCTCTAGGCTTTCTGACCATGAAATGAGTATTATAGCAAAAAAGTTATTAAGAGTTGTGTAAGTTTTTGTTGACCTTCAGATGAGATAGATTAGAAAGTTAATTATAAGCATGAATGTAAGCTTCAAGATGGCTGCGATAATTTCTAATGGCGTTTCCACTGTTGTAATTTTCGCACACGCTTTTCATATAAATTGAAAAATTCAAAGTTGATGTTGAAATGCCGTGTTTTATGTGTTTACAAGGTTTTAAAGTAAAATGTTTGCATCATTTCAATGATTGTATTTTCTAATATACTTTGTAGATATGTTTGACCAAATCCTTTGGAGAAAATTTTAAGAGTTCCTAATGTTTTTATGCCTAATTGCGCAATGACACCATTAAAGTGGTGGTCTAAAGAAATATCAAATGCCATCCATGTCTATTTATTCGATTGGTGTTATAGTATTATACAGCACTATCTTTAAAAACTTTATCAGTATCAGATTATAAAAATTGCTCTTTCAAAAACAATAACTTCTGACATTGTGTACTATTTCAATAGAGTTTTCATATTTTTAACTAAAGGAAAACCTTTTTGACAACTGACAATACTGCCCAAAGTGACATTCGAAATTTGAATTTTATTAGATGTTCCAAATAGGTTTATCAAGGGTAAAGACGTCTCTAAAATTATGAAAGGACATCGTGGGCAGATACGTGGGTCTTCAATGCCTACGTGGGAACAACAATGTATGATATAAAGCTTGATTTTATCGTAAATTCCTTGAAGTCTTTGTTGGTTAATGATAGGTACGTAGACCTACGCTTTTATAGTTATAAGGTTTCTTCTTTAATTAATAAAACCCCTCCTTTTTTTACGTGCTCGGTAATACTTGTATTGCTATTTTATCTATATTAATAGAATAATACGAAAGGAATATCAAGGGTTATTATTTAAGTTTGTTATACTATTAATACATTAATAAAATTTATATTTTCTACATATATTCCAGCGCATTTACTAGGTACTTACTTTATTCTTGTCAATACGTCAAAATAAGTAACATTACAACGATTACACTTTTTTTCATTAAAGAAAGTCTTATTACACTCATTTGAACACACTGATGCCTCTTTACCCCGCAGAATTTTCAGTATTATATACAGACTCAACGTATTCGAAAACCATGTATAAAAAAGCTTTTTAAATGAAATTGGATAAATCAAACATTCAAATGAACGTTTAATTTTCTTTTATTATTAATATTAAATACTAGAGCAGAGTCGGCCTAGCTTCGGCTTCTTCAGCGTGCGACTCTCATTCCTGAGATCGTAGATTCGATCCCAGGCTGTGCACCAATGGAATTTCTTACTATGTGCGCATTTATCGCTCGAACGGTGAAGAAAAACATCGTGAGGAAACTGGCTTGCCTTAGACCTAAAAAGGCGGCGGCGTGTGTCAGGAGACTGATCACCTACTTGCCTATTAGATACAGATACAGAAATCTGAGGCCCAGACCTAAAAAGGCTGTAGCGCCACTCATTTAATTATTATTTTTTATAGGCTTATCAGAACTTCCAGGATTCGCTTTTAAACATTTTTTTAATATGGTAGAAGTCACCGGTATTTTCGTGCTATAGCAAGTATTTAACCACATAGCACAATCTACCTACTAAACATACTTATAACACTTCAGAAAATATAGAGCTTTGCCTCGTATAGAGAACAAACACATTGTTTACCCTCACACCCATTTGCTGGTAACTCACCTTTGATTAAAGATAAAACCTTCCAATAGAAATAAACCTTTACTGGGAATATGAAATAAAAACAAAGGAAAATGCAATGGTGTTCATGACGTATTCCATTTTGAATATATAAGGCAATGTATATACATAGTGGGCGGGCCCTGGACGCACGCCATTCTATTCCCCGAAGAGGAAATCGTTACGGCTAGTAAATTGGAAGCTAACCACTACTTGCCCGAACCCGACACGCAGACATTTAAATAACTAAATTGGTAGTAAAATTACACTGAAATATTGTTTACAAAGTAGCTGGCGAAATATTTGAATTTGGAACGTGTCGAAAGGTTACCTTTTACAATTAAGTTGTATCTATTTAGTGTCAGATTTATCTTTTGTGCCGTGAGACTTGAAATATTACTTTGCTAGGAATCGAATCTGATGCCGCAGCAATTATACGCAGTGTTCCTAATAGATACAGAAAACGGTTCATAGTACATAGAATTTATCGCAAAATAAAATATGAAATTCCCACCGGTTTAAGTAGGGTCAAATATTTTTAATATAATAAATTATTTAAATTAAGTATTTTCATAATAACACTTATAATTTGTTAAATATAACAAAAGTTCTCAATCGATTTTTTATTTTTAAATTAAAGACCGTAAAAAAGCGTTTCATCTAAGTTATTACTATTACAACACGAATTTAGTTCCATGTTTTTATCAATAGTATTTATATCGTCACGTCAATGTTAAAAAAGAAAAAGAATAAATAGATTAATTTGACTATTGTTCATTTCTTTTTAGGAAATATAAATCTACCCCAACCCTTCTAGGCTATAACAATAAGCCAAACACATGAAATTAGGAAAACTGCTATTTTATAAGCTCTCACATTTCAATGAGTATTCTGTAAATAGCGCCATAAATAAATTCATAAGTAGGCTATGCTCCGGATTTTATGCGTTTTTAAAGGGGAGTCCACGGGGTACCGGGAAAGTGAAACGTGGCGTAAAACCTCCCCCTAAAGAGGAAAACAACAGGGAAGGATACACAGCTTGACAAACTTTAAATTATCTTGATAGAAAAAATATCATTATCATTTTGTTTCTCTTTGTTCAGATGAAAAAGAAACCATTAGATGAATTCATATATTCTATAGGTCTTTAAATATTAGTTTATAAAACATAATACCAAACATATAAAGTATAGGTAATCAAACAACAATAGACTATAATTCATTTTGTTTCAACATAAATCTGCATTTCCGGTAGATGAAATATCCGTTCGCCATGCCGGGAAACAACACACTTTTAAAGAAATTACATTTCATCGTTCATACGGAAAACGTGGTGAGAATTTTAATTCAAAACGCAGACCCATACACATTAAAATAGGTTTAACCGCCAGCCGTTCCACTTTCGAAAAAATAAAATAAAACAAAAAGGCGCGATCCCGCCATACCTCCCGGCGAACCGCAAATTCCAACGGAAAAAATCGTATTTCGAACGTGGTTTGAATTTTAAATTGACGCTCAGCGAAAACCGTCGTGCCATTTTGTGAACATTCCCACTTCACTAGTCAGGGTAACACTATAATGCCTCGAATCGGTGGACGATTCAAAAGTCGTCAACTATTACGCTTACTTTATAATATCAAAACAAATAAAGACTGAAGATTTGTCTATGACATGACACTAGAATATATATAATAATAGTACATTAACTTACTAATAACTTAATGAAAGTTTCTATGGCTACATGGGTTTATAAATATTTGACGAAACAATCAAGATCTCTTTAAACAAGTGCCGCAATGTTTTGCAATACCAACTGACCTCTAGCATTTTCAATTATATACGAGTATTATCCTCATTGCATTTCTCATTTGAATATTATGTGTTCATTATCTCATCATTCTCCGCTGTAGCAGCTCATGACAATTTTAATAACTTTATTGTTGTCGACATTAGGTACGCGCTATACACTCCATGATGGCCGCTAAATTATAATAAACAATTTCGAGCGCTCATTATTCCCTCGCTCATCACGACTCGAAATTATTCGACACAAGTGTTGAACGTCCCACAAAAATTGCCGAATGAACCACGACTCAACGTATTTGTAATTAAGGAATATTAGTCTTAATTTCTTTTTACATCACATTTTGACTTCTGGTATTCTTATGTTTGAAGAACTGCGTCAATGACAAAGGTCTAAATATCCATAGGTAAGGCCAGCTCTACAACTTATTAACATTAACTAACACGTGTCTAAAGTATTATTCTTAAAGCAAACACGTAATCTAATTCAATATTTATCGAAAAAATAAAAAAGATGTCTATGATATTCCTTTGTCTTCATTCAATATTTGTCGATTTGTCGCTATCGCTGAATGTCTAATCTTACGCTGACAGTATGAATTCACTTACTGTATTGGTTTCCGGGTTTGTCTCGCGTAAACCTACTACTCAGATATTTCGAATTGTGCGTTTATAATGTTTAAAATAAATAGTGTTTACAGCTGTCACTCCAAGTAGTAATGACCCACTGAAAATCAGTGTTGCTGGTGACACTAACTTAAAGCTGATCTGGGTCCATTTTTGATTAAAGTAATTCTGTTTGTATTTCTTTAATATGCTTTAGTAGGCTTTAGTCAAATATTTTCTTTTCTTATAAAAAATTACTATGTGAGAAACATTAAGCTGGTGACTGTTTTACTGTCTAGTAAAGACAGTCTTTAGTTCTTACTCTAAGAACTGAACTACTCCTTTTGACAACGTTTATATAAACAACATTTTGGTATGCCCGAAGGTCTTACGTTTGAAATCCCATATTTTGTTAAACCTATGTCTAGGTAGATTAAATAACTCATGTACTAAATATCTGTTTCAGAGATGATGCTGTCAACGCGGTCCATGGAAACTGTATGCCATGAAGCACACCTTGTTAAATACGAAAAATGCTAGCGATCACCGCAAAGTGTGAAGCCGACACATGAATGACGTAAAAGACAGCTATGCAAGAGATTTGCAACTCAGCCGCACTGCCACTCGACAGTAACCCTCTAGTGCGCAAGATAAAATGCGAAGACTTCCCCGTGAGGGCAAAGCCTACGAGAGTTGGCATGGGGGTGCGCGATGAAATGGACGAGGAATTTGCAGTAAAGGCAAGGAACACGCCGCCGATGGGACCTGCACAGGACCATCGCATGGAGCATGGGGGGAATGGCTTCTGGCTCGCGGCCGTTACGGCTGCAGGAGCACCCCACCCCATGCTGGAAACTGAAACTGGCTTCATTAACAGCCAACCGTCGATGGCTGAGTTCATGACTGCTCTTCCACAACTGGGTGGCGGAGAACTAAGTCCGCAGCACACACCTCCTGGATACGGTCCGGACTTGCCGTCCCCTGGTGGTGGTCTCAACGTACCCGAGTATCCCTGGATGAAGGAGAAAAAAACGACCAGAAAAAACAGCCAACAAGGTGAGTGGTGAATTAATATAGGCAAAAACAATTTGTGTAAAGAAAGCAAATAGTTCGAAAGTTTCGTAACTCACTACAAATGATTATCATTATGCCTTTCAACGGTTACAAATGACCATTGAACCATTGTGTTCTGGTTCACGGTCTCAGAACTTCTTTAATGAACGTCAAATTACTCCAAAATATATTGAATTGCTGACGACATCTCTTGTTGCTAACCGTTTTAAGTTTGTGGGATCACATCGTCTACTGGTAGGTCGCCGCCATTCGCCGTGTAACGGAACGAATTCGACATGCACTATAAACACAAATTATAAGTGAGAACATTTTAGAACATAATTTTTACATATCGGTTGACTGTGTATTGTATAAAGGCAATGTTTATAAGACTTCCGTAGAACCTTACTTACATTTTCAATGTTTGTATGTTTGGTGTTTTGTGTTAATGTTTCGTTACAGAACCAAATGTATATAGAGAGACTCAAAAACATTAATATGTTTGTGTCGTTATAAATAATCATAACATTCATCTTTACTATTTGTTTTTATGTGGTCATTTTATAACGGTATCTAACAAAAAGAAGAACGCTAATAAAAAAGTTTCTACTGATCACACAAAACAATTGACCCCAAATTTGTCTCTGGGATAAAACGTAACAAAACCCGATGTGATGATCCATCACCATACGTCGTGAGAACACGACCTCACCTGGTACTCATACGTCATTTTTGCGATCAAATTAGTACAATAATAATATTAGGGTGATTTTTATACTTTAACTTATTTTTACAGAATATGATAAAGTTTTATTTACCTAACTTGAAAATTTTGTCTTTGATTTTCTTATTTGGTGATTACGTCAACAGTAATTATTTACTTTTTTACACATATTACCTACACATTATCTATGCTTGAAAACGACATGCATTTTTGAGAATTCCTACTAAAAATTAACACGTTTTTGTACTATTATCTTTGAGAGCTGACAAGAGGAAGGGGGGATAAATTGTAGTAAATCTGCTTACGTAATACTTGAATGGCCCCTTTATCAGTAGTAGTTACCCAATTCCCGTTACCTCCAAATCTCGGCCTGTTTACTAAAACCATCTACACCTTTTGTCTAAATGAGGCCAATAATACTTAAATAATTTTAAATTTTTTAAAAAAATGGACACATCTGCGTTTTTTTTAATTTTTTAATATGTTCTTTCTAGTACCAGTATAAATCTACCATATTACGTCCTTTGTAATAAAGTAAAATCTCTTCTAAAATACGCCAGTAATGCAATAAATATATGTAGAATAAATGTTGATGCAATGAGCGCTTGTCCAACAGAAGCAATCTCCCGCTGCGCGCGCTGGGGGGCACTCACCTCGCGTATTATGCGTAACTTATATTAACACTTTTTTAATCAACACATACATAAGCAGGCTAATGAGTTTACGTGTTTATAATTATTTACTATTATATCCAATAAATTCACGTTAAAAGACAATATTGCCAGTATAAAATATACCACGTCTAATAAGTAACAAAATTAGCATTTTATGTCCCATACATTTAAGTAATGATTTCACATCTACACAGCTTTCACTATTGATATAAGTAAAAAAAAATCAGTGGCGCTACAACCTCTTTTAGGTCTTGGCCTCAGATTTCTCAATCTGTTTCATGAGCATTTTTAAATCTAGAAGCAAGTAGGTGATCAGCCTCCAGTGCCTGTTCAGTTTGCTCACGATCTTTAGATTCACCGTTCGAGCAAGTGTTAAATGCGCACATAGAAAGAAAGTCTATTGGTGCACAGCCGGGGATCGAACCTACGACCTCAGGTATGAGAGTTGCACACTGAAGCCACTAGGCCAACACTGCTCTTATTATTGATATAAGTAATCCACTATTAATTTACTACATTAATCGAACAAACAATAATTAATAAAATCAGTTTTTAACAAAAAATAGCGAACGTCTGAGAGATATAGTTTGGCGCAGGCCGTGAACCGCTACCGATCATCAATCATTGTCAGTATCGAGCGATGCACGCCCGCTTCTATGCAGCGCTTTGTGTACGGATATTGGATTCGCTAACTTTTGACTGATTTCTTAAAATTCGTATTTATTTTAAACTTAATAATTGCTAACGTAGCATAACGATACACACATATAACTTGGAGGTACGGTAACCATTAATTTTGGTCTTACAGTTTCATCATCGGACGTCGAGGCAGAATACGAAATTCCACCCGTATCATCTCGACGTCCGTCGTTTCATAACGTAGCGATATTTAAGCTAGTTTTCGCCGCGCACCACCACTATGTGGAACCAACTGCCTACTAAAGTATTTAGATTCAACTTAGGGTCCTTTAAGAAAAGATCGTTCCAACTCTTAAAAGGCCGGCGACGCACTCGCGAGCCTTCTGGCATTAAGAGGTGGCGGCGTGGACACTGACGATGGGCGGCGAGTATCACTTAATCTCAGATGAGCCGCTGCCCATGATGCCTGTGTACTGCCCCTTTTCCCCCTATTCTAAAAAAAAACGTGTACGCATTGGACGGCATTACAAAATGTGTGAAATATATATATTAACTAGCTGCTCGTGCTTCGTTTCTCCTTGTGATTTTACTTAGCCTACCTTTTTAGTAGGTACATACCAACATGGAACATTTTGCTATGTTACCCCAGAGACTCTTGAGTTTTCTGGAATGACAACTTTTTTAGGTTTTTCTGTGAATTTTTCTGTATATAAACCTCAGAGTTCAAGTCAAAAGATTTTAATTAACAAATAAGAAATTGGGGTTGATCGTAGAGGGGTGAAAATTAAGGGTTGTATGTATTTTTGTATGATGTATCATAAAAAAATAAAAATTGTCTAAAAAATAAAAATAATAATTTTGGGATGGACACCTCTTATCACTTAGGGTTTTGAAAGATAGATAGTAGCCGATTCTCAGACTTACTGAATATGCATAAAAAATTTCATAAGAATTGGTCGGGTCGTTTCGGAGGAGTATAGGAACGAACATTGTGACACGAGAATTTTATATATGTAGAGATATAATATCAATACATAACTTGCAATATATTGCCAAAGGCTTGCATTTTATGCATGACTTGAGCTTGTTCCAGCATTGTTCACACAATTTTGATTAAAAATTGTTAATATTTTTCTTAACTTATACGAGAAATCTTACAGTTCGTTTTAATCTTTGAAGCTACCTACATTAATTAACCTTGTTTCAAATAGGCAGTTATGTCATCCTCTATATAAAGTTATCCAGCTTAGAAATCACACCAGCATTAGAGACTGTAATACTTGCACATTCAATTGCCTTCTGGTGAATGCTTTACTGGCCTGTACGCCGTATTCAATTATTTCAAAACAAAAACGCTTGTAAAGAATCTCTCGAAGAAAATACACGTACGTCTTAAAAGCGGGATTTATATCAAAGGTATCTAGGGACATGAAACAAATCGTTCTCGCGACCACGCCTCCGGCACTCGGGAATCGAAATTAAAACGAACGCCCTGACACAATCGATCATTCCGATTCTTTAATACAATGTATTTTTGCAAGCCTCAATTTGTACTTGACTGACGTGTGATACGAGTTTTAATCAGTTTCTTTTGGAAATACAAGAAGTGGAACGAATTGTTTGTTTTCAAGTTAATGTGGACTTAAAGTTAAGAATAAGTCTCTGTATTCAACGCTGCGAGCTACTAGTACGGTATCTGGGTAATTAGTGAAATGGTTTTATTTCGTATATAAAAACTGATTATTGCAGGGAGATTAAATTCAATAATAATATTTTCTACATTTTGTAAGGCAATTCTTCTCCTTACTTTGTGACCTACCTACCTACTGTAATATATCTGACTCGAGTTTTGTACTCAAAAGCTATTAAAATGCTATAATGACGCCAATGTCTGTCCGTAGATAGAAGTTTGGAGACCCAGAACTCAGTGTGCAGCATTCAATACCTTCGTATTATAAGACTACATGTCTGGCTTATAAAAGAATATTGTTGATACTTAGATACAAATATTTTCTACGCATCTTTACAATTTGTAAAATCTTCAGCGTTTAATCAAAAATATCAAGCTTTTCAATATAAAGAAACATTTTTTATTTACCCAAAACCTCATCCTTAGTGCTGATACTTTCCTCTCTCAAGTATCGCAATACAGCGAGGAAATGCCAGCATTAAAGGTACACTGTCATAGGGACCAACCATTTTAAATTTATTTTAGGTTTCTATTTATTTATCTTTCAATATCTAACATATAAAAAAATACACTTGAGAATCTCCTGCAAAGACCAAGTACAAAAGAACTATGAACAGTGAAACCGAAAATAATTCAACAAAAGGCATGTTTACACTTTCATTTTCGCAAATCTGTTTCTGCATAGAACAAATCTAATAAAGCAGGTAGTTCTTCCTTATAGAGTAATAAATCTTTTGGCGGCCGCTCTTTGATTTATGTGAAAAATGACCGTAAATTTGAGGTTAGGTCGACGTCATAGGGCGGATGTATTCCAATCATATGCCCACAATTACATGGTTTAGATAGATTCTTACGTAGGCCAAATTGACAAAAAATAGTAAAAAATTCTGTGCAGATTAAAGGGAAATCTCTCTACTATATTTGATAGTCTCTTGTTTGACTGTAGATGAGTGTCTTGTTTATAAGGTTGTTATCATCCATTTTTGACATGACGACCACTGTGAATACAATATCATGCATCATATTTTTGTCATTATAATGATATACTATCAAAATAGCCTTAACGACTCATCCCCGAGAGACTTTTTAAATTGTGAGTAGGTAATGGTTCTCACTTAGTAAATATATGCACAACCTAATTCCAAATTAAGTATGTAAAATATATTTTATCAATGTACAATGTTATAACCATAAGCCGTAAAACAAATAATAGTTTCTTCTTATAAGACATGTCTTATGTCTAAATGGCATTTCAACTAGTCCTTTATGAAACAATGAATTCACAAA